TATATATATATATATATATATATATATATATATATATATATATATATATATATAAATATAAATATAAATAAATATAAGTAAATATAAGTAAATATAAATAAATATAAATCAGTATAAATAAATGTAAATATAGTCAAATATAAATAAATACAAATATAGACAAACATGAATAAATATAAATAAACATAAATAAACAAATAAACGTAAATAAAAATAAAAATAAATGAAAATAAATATAAACGAAAAAATATAAATAAATAAAAAGAACTAAAAATAAATAAATACAAATAAATAAAAATAAATAAATACAAATAAATAAAAATAAATAAAAATAAATACAAACAAATAAAAAAAATAAATAAAAATAAAAAACTAATAAAATTGTTTACCTCATCGATTTCATAATTTTGGTTTTTTGTTTGTTTTAGCAGCGGCACATCCCAAGGCTCCACCTGCGGGCAATCCGCCAGCTGCAGCAGCAGCAGCAGCAGCAGCAGCAACAGCAACAGCAGCAGCAGCAGCAGCAGCAGCAACAGCAACAGCAGCAGCAGCAGCAGCAACAGCAGCAGCAGCAACAGCATCAGCAGCAATAGCAGCAGCAGCAATAGAAGCAGCAAACATGTATATGAGAGCAGCAACAGCAACAGGAAACAAGTATATAGAGCAGCAGCAGCAGCAGCAACAGCAGCAGCAGCAGCAACAGCAGCAGCAGCAGCAAACAGCTATCAGCAATAGAAACAGCAGCAAGCAAGTACACGTGACCACCAGCAGCAACGCCAGCAACAACAGCAGCAGCAGGAGCAGCAGCAGCAGCAACAGCAGCAACACCAGCAGCAACAGCAGCAACACCAGCAGCAGCAGCAGCAGCAGCAGCAGCAGTAACAGCAGCAGCAGCAGCAGTTTACCCATAGTCTGGCGAATTCTGGTACAGCAGCATCAAGTTGTTCTTCTGGGTTGATTTCTTTTTTTGTATCTGTGTCTGCTGCTGCTGCTGCTGCTGCTGCTGCTGCTTCTCGCTGCTGCTGCTGCCGCTGGTAGTTTCGCATTGTCTCCTCAATACGCACAAAATGACCCTTAGGCAAAAACTCCAACGCCTTTCTCTTACGCTGCAGCAGCAGCAGCAGCAGCAGCAGCAGCAGCAGCAGCAGCAGCAGTGAACAGCAGCAGCAGGTGGTGACAGCAGCAGCAACAGCAGCAGCAGCAGCAGCAGCAGCAGCAGGCGAACGTTGCAATAACAACAGCAGCAACACCAGCAGCAGCAGAAATAGCAGCAGCAGCAACAACAGCAGCAGCAACAGCAACAGCAGCAACAACAGCAGCAGCAGCAGCAGCAGCAGCAGCAGTACCTGAGTTCTCGCTGTCTTTGTCTGTATTGTTGGATCATACCAAGGGCACGTCGTTATATCCTCAAACGTTGTCTCTGCTGCCTGCAGCAGCAGCAGCAGCAGCAGCAGCAGCAGCAGCAACAGCAGCAGCAGCAGCAGCAGCAAGGGTATCATTAAGCTGCTGCAGCTGAGCAGCAAGTGAATGCAGCCGCACAACAGCAGCAACAGCAGCAGCAGCACCACCACCACCACTAACAACAACAGGAGCAGCAGCAGCAGCACCACCACCACCACTAGCAACAGCAGCAGCAGCAGCAGCAACAGCAACAGCAGCAGCAGGAGCAGCAGCTTACTTGTTGCTGCTGCTGCTGTCTTCTATTAATTTTGAGGCTGGAGTGTACGATGGGTTTAATAAGATTTCCGCTTGCGTCTATCTCTCTACCTAAAGTATCAAACATGATTGGTTTTTTTTTTATTATTTCTTTTTCTTTTTCTTCTTGCTGCTGTCGTCGTTGCTGCTGCTGCTGCTGCTGCTCTGCTTCGTGCTGCAGCAGCAATAGATGCTGCGAAAGCAAAGGATTCGTTGAACCTATTCCTGCTGCCATGTTCCCTGTTGTTGCTTTCACTTGTTGTGCTGCTAGTGCAGCAGCAGCAGCAGCAGCTGCTGCTGCTGCAGCAGGACTGGCCGTGCTGGGTGCTGCTGCTGCTACTGCAGCAGCAAGAGAGGGAACGGTTGCTGCAGTAACTGCTGCTGCAGCAGCAGCAGCAGCAGCAGCCTGCTGCTGCCGCAACTGGTCCTGTATCTGCCGCTGCAGCTGAGCTGCCTTCTTCGCTTTATCGAGAGCTTCTCGTGCTGCTGCTGCTGCTGCTTGTACACTAAAAGGAAGCTTAATACCCCCAGGCTTTGCTGCTGCTGCTGCTGCTGCTGGTGCTGCTGCTGGTGCTGCTGCTCCTGCTGCTGCTGCTGTTGATGGTGGAACTGCTGCAGCAGCAGCAGCTCCTTCTGGTCGTGCAGCAGCTCCTGCTGCTGGCTCTCCAGGGACGTCCTGAGAAATGCAAAGACAGCAGCAGCAGCAGCAA